AATCATTGAAATTGCTCTCTTGCTTTTTTTTATCATTCAACAAGTATTTTGTTTTTTTTGGTAAAACATTTTAGACTGTTTTGTTTTTTCTTTTCATTAAAAAATTTTTTCATTTTTTTTGTTTTCTATTACTGCGCTGAAAAAGTTTAAAAGTTTCTGGTGATTTCACAGATCGAAATTAATCTTTGAAACATTGGTGTAAGGAAAAAAAAAAATAAAAAAGTTTTTCCGTCATTTCTTTTTCTTTTTTTTCGAAAACGTCAATTAATGCAAATAAAAATTTTGCTGTATAAGAAAAAAAAAAAAGCAATTTTTTTTGGTTTTTTTTTGAAAAATTTATTTTCTATGTTTTATTTTTTATTATAAAATACAATTAAGAGAAGAAAGGAAAAAAAAAAACGAGGTAACTTTTCCACTTTTTTTCACTTTTTTTTTCTTGGTATTTTTTTAGCATGGATAAACTGTTTGATTTGATGACAATGACGGTAAAATATCAACTTGAAACATGTATAACACCAAATCATTTGCTGTCAATTTCACTGAATCATATTGATGGAATCAAAAAAATTATGACTGAAGACCGGGATAATGTTGAACTTCTAAGGGGTTTACATAATAAGGTAAGATTATTGAGAGCAAAACTTATTCAGACAGCACATATAATGAAAGCAATTGTTTTTTATTCTTTCCTTTTTTTTGCGATTAAAAATCGGAAAAAAAATCATTTTAATTAATTAAGAAAAAGAAATTTTGTTGACTATTGTTGGGGTTTTTTTTTTGCATCATTCTTAGACATAAACAAATTGAATTCAGTCATACTTTACTGTTTTTGCAATAATTATCGTTGATTACAGCTGTTGGCAACCTATGGTAACATATCGGTATTGGAAAAAGCACTTTTACGTAGTGCTTTATTGTCATTTTTTCAGGTCAGCTGTTTTAGAAAAAGAAAAAAAATAAAAGAATACAACAGACGACAACTAATTTTTTTTTTTTTCTTTATTTTTTACCACTATTTTGCAGCGGTATCGGTAGCGCCTAAGATTTTAGTGTCGTTGCAAAAAATTTAAGAGGGGGCTTACATAATAAGGTAAGGCTATATAAAGCAAAACTTTTTAAAAAAAACTTTTTTTTCTGCTTTTAAATTTCGTATAACTGAAAAAAGAGGAGAAAAAAAAACAGTTTTTTCGTTTAGGAAACTCGAGTAAGAATTTCGTCTTTTTTACGTGAAAAAAAACAACTGTCCAACGGACACTATGTGTTATTTCCAACACGTTGGATTGAAATTGCTGCTGATGTTGAAGTACCGGGACGGGTTCGCATTTACACCTATGATGCCAAAGGTGGCAGAACAATTGATGAGGGAAAATTCAATACAAATTCCAAAGATTTCACTTACATAAAAAATATTGCTGATGTTAGTGACAACGTAGCTTTTTTTTTTTGTTTTTGAAACTATTTGATTTATTAATAATTATAAGATCACTTTACAAAAAATGTTTGGCAACCAATTTTGATTTCTTTGTTTGTTTTTTTGTTTTTTCTGTTGCAAGTAAAAAAGAAGAAAAAAAAATTTTGCAAAATAACAAAATGAGAAAGTTTTTTGAAAACAGTTATTCAGTGATCAAAAACTGATAAGCAGTTATTATTAAAAAAAAAAAACAAAAACAAGAAAGTTTGCTGCAATTTTTAGATTGATCTCAGTTGGCAAGGCGAAGAAAGAGGCACTGAACTTGGTGAAGATATCTTTCAAGCACCAACAGCTATTGATGTTAGCTTTTTTTCTTTGGAAAGGGGGGGAGGCATATAATAAATAATCCGTTAAAAATAATTGCAAGTTTTTTTTTTTCCAGTAAAAAATTATTCTGAAAAAAAAAATTTCTTTTCCCATTAAAAATATTGCAAAAATTTTGGCTACAAATTTTATAACTTATAGAATTATTATTCATTGAAACAAATGTGTCATTTCGTAATTGTTTATGCAAAAAAATATAAATTCAGTTTTTTTCTTTTCTAATTTTCAACAATTATTTATTTTTTTTGTCATTAACATAGGTAACAAATTTATTTGCAGTAAATATCCATTACCGTCTAAAAACAGCTTTTTTTTTTTTTTGATTAATGTTAACAATTATCGATAACTTCTTTTTCCCCTGATGTTTAGGTGTACAAAAGTAAGCGATTAACCAAAGCTGATACATTGGAGATGTTAGAAGAAGGCGATGAATTAAAATTTTTGACTAAATTAATTGCACAAAATGTCGAAGCAGAAAGTAAACGTTTCAAATAACATTTTCATCTTCTGAAATTAATTTTACTTTTTTATTATAACTTCACAAAATTGACTTTTCTGTTTGTTTGTTTTTTGAATTTTTACTTTTTTTTTTCTTACTGTTTCGTTGTTTCTAATCTGAACCAACAGAAAACAACAACGAGAAACGGTAAAGACAGCGGTAAAGTTCGGTCTTAAATGAACAGATATCATATTGTAGAGTTTGAGCTAAGCATTTTTGATGATGAAACTGAGGCAGAAAAAATGCACTGTGGAAGTGAACAGTCAAATCGTTTGGCAGCAAATGAGATGCGAATTAATGCCGTACAAAGTGACAACGATTTATCTGCACAAATTGCAAAGGTAAATTTTTCTCGTTTTTTTTCTTTTTTCTTTGTTTTTTTTTTTTTTTTTTTTTTTT